CTCGGTCCCACCCGCCCCCCGGAAACTACCCAGTGTCTACCAGCGGTAAACAAACAATTGTTGTACTCATACAATTGAATACTGTCTCGCCCTAGAAAGCGATGAACTACCAAACCTCGCAACAATAGCACTGAATCTCGAAAACACGGCGCCAAGCGAAAACAGCTGCCACAGAGCGCACATTGTGCAAACCCACTGCGCGGAGCCCGGCGGCGCGGGCCAGAGGGCGGCACAGGGGCCGCCTGTGTGCAGGCCCGGAGCGGCCGCAGGGGCCTTCTGGGGCGAAGGCCGGGCCAGCCTGGCTTTGGGCGGTGGTCCATGGGCGCCTCCACTTGTCAGAGACCACTGAGGACTTACAGGAGAGCATGCTGTCGCTAAGGACACCTGGCCGAACACACCTACGTCGAGAGAGAGAGGTACTGAAGAGAGAAAATTCACTTTCTAGCCTGCACCCCATCCCCCCAACTCCTGGCGAGTGAGCAAAGTGACTCCCATTCTGTGTCTGGGGCGGGCCGCCTGGGTGGAAAACGGCTTTCTGAAATGGATGGTCAGAGAGCCCGGCAGGGCAGTGAGCAGGCCCCAGGGGGCCCGGGCCTTGGCCTCTCCGGACATCTCCCTTCTTGTGGCCACTTCTCTCCTGCTGGGCAGTCCAGGAGGGGCGTTTCGCCTTCTCTCAGCAAATCTTCTAGAAGACAGTCCCCGCGCTAGCCCCCACCTTGACATGAGACTGACAAGAAACCATGCTCTCAGAGCTCAGAAAGGAGACCCCATATTCAGTGGGGTTTAGGAAGGTTTCCCCATCTGGGACTGTCTAAATGGGGGCATTGGACCAGGAGGAGTTAGCTGAGTGACTGAAAGATGGAGGGGTGGAAGGGGAAGTGGAGTCGACTGGTCTCAAACTCGGGGACACCTCATTATTGGAAGGGCAACCATCTGAAAAGTCCCTATGCCCAGAGCACACCCCAACCCAGCAGAATGGGAAGTGGGGGACACTCCCCATAGACATATCACTCCTCAGGGGATTCTCACTTTACAGCCAAGTTGGAGGACAGGTGTCCTGGGTGGAGGTGACAGCATGAGTGAAAGCCTGTGCCTAGAACCAGAGGAAGGTCCCAGTGGAGGAGAGAGCATGAGGAGAAGTGAAGAAATGTGGCTGGGAGGGCAGAGCCCCCCAAACCGCCCCTGGCCCGTAGAACATGGCCGCAGGTAAGGAGGGAGATGACAGCACCTGGATCAGGAGGGGCCCAAGCGGGTGGCGTCCTGACAGGAGGCAGGAAAGCACACGGGAGACCCTGAGCACCTGTAGGAGGGGAGCCTGCAGGCCAAGGGCAGCGGCCACTCCCTGCTGGGCACAAGGACTGGCCCAGTGGGGCGCCTCAGGGCTCCCGCTGACACGCTCTGGAGCTTCTGGACTCCAGCACTGAGAGGGAACCGTTTCTGGCACGTGGGCCTCACAGTCGGTGGCAACCGGCTCTACAGCCCTGAAAAACTCAAAGGAGAGAGACGGGCAGAGAGATCAGCCACCACGGGGAACCGGGAACTTGGAGCTGAGAGCTGGGGAGCCTGTGGGGGGTGGGGAGCCCCCCACATCCGGGGGCTGTCTCTGGGGAGTTGTGTGGCTGGGGGGAGGACCTGAGGGTGACCCCCCTCACCCCGAAAGACCTCGCCAAGTTCCCCAGCGAGGGCCGCAGCAGAGTGATCTACAGGCCGGGAGCGGGAAGGGGACAGGCAGCAGGCAGAGCTGGAGGGCTGAGAAGCTTCAACGTAGCCTGTGCTGAGGAGGAAGGAAAAGCGTCTCCTGGCAACACGGAAGAGCTAGTTGATAGAAGCAGAAGTCTGGGGACGTGCGGGTGCCCATCTGTGCCGAGGTGAGGCTGGGCCTCAACAGGCTGGCGGGCAGCCAGGTGCCCGGCCAACAGCCCGCTCTCCGGGCACGGGCTCTGGGGCTCAAGCTCTCTACGGTCTGGGAACTTACCCTAGGTCCCTGGGACCTTACATCAAAGGCACCTCCAGAGTAAACAAGAGCCTCCAGGGAAGTGTTTTTCTTAGCAACTCGCCCTCCCCAAGGAGCACACGCTAAGTCGGTGAGTCAATAAATATTTATTGTACACACTGTGTCAATACGTGTTATGGACTAATTGTCAATAAATATTTATCGACTATCTCCCCGAGGGTATGCAGTCTGCCTCCGAGGAGGCAGTAAATATTTACGGAAGCACCAGGCACAGGTCTTGGAAACTGGAACAGTGAAGGCAGCGGGGAGACGGCCCAGCTGCAGCTCCGCCTGGGGTTACGAGGAAGGGGGTGTGCCGGCACCGAACCCCAAGCCCGGGGTGGCGCAGAACGGAGGGCCGAGACCGGCTCTGAGGCTGCGGAGTGAGGGCGAGTGGGCCGCGTTACCAAGAGCACCCCGGCTCCCTTGTCTGTCTGAACAGGGAGGGTGAACCCCCTAGAGGCTGACACAAAGCAAAAGCTAAGGCAGCTCTGGGCAGGGCCCTGGCGCCCGCGGCCTCCCAAGGCGGCCATGGCACTGGCGGCCTGCGGCTGGGTGACGCTCCTTCGGCGCCCAGATGGACCGAGATAAGGGTGCCGCTAGGGAGGAAGCTGAGCTCCTGCCCAGAGCCCTGCTGAGTCCCCGTTTCCCCTCCTTGCACAAACCACAGCCCCATCCTGGAGAATGAGTCACTGGCCAGAAACAGGTATTTCTCAAAATCCCCCAAATCACTGAGGGAAGAGCCCAAGTTTCCTTCCCAAGGCATCTTCACAGTCGAGCCAAGGGCGGGGCTGTGGGGTGGGAGGCGGAACCGTGAGGCTCTGGAGCACAGGGTGGGTCTGCCCCGTAGAACAGGGGAATCCCCAGGTTTCCATGATGCTTTGCAACTCTTGTCTGCTTGGGCCCTTCTCCGCCAACACCAGCGTACAGACTCGCCGCCCCGCCCAGCCCCTTCCACACCTCCACTAGCAAGGCTGGAAGAAATCAGAGGGCGCCTTCATCCCTTTCCAAAGACCAAGACCAGTTCCGGCTTCCTTCTGTCCTCATGGCTTCTGATCCTGAGGGCAGCCTTCCCCATCCTTCCTGCATAAAATATTCATAGTTCCCCTTATTCACCAGGGTCTGATTACAAGGACCTCTGATTAATTGAAGCCAGGTGCATGTTCTGTCTGATGCTTGACTTTGTTGCTGCTTTTTAAGAATCAGGAGATTTTACTTTATCTTTAAGAATCAGAAGATCTGGCCCTCCCTGGTGGGGCAGCGGGTTAAAGCACAGCACAAAGAAGCTAAAGCCACTTCCGCATGAGTTCGATCCCCAGCCCCGGAGGTGACCCCAGGGCGCGGCAGACCTCTCCTGGCCCGCCCGCTGCTCCCCTCAGCAGTGTACTTTGACATTCTGCCTGTTCTGCTCCCCACTCTGTCTCTGGTGAATCCTCTCACCCTCTGCATCTCTGGCCTGTACCCCAGTTCTGTATGAATAAATAAATAAATCTTTAAAAATAAAAAAGAATCAGAAGATCCGGCCTCACCGAGTCTGGATTCCCACACGGGAGACAGACGAGCGGCATGTGCTGGGAATGTGCCGCCCAGCCCCAGTCTCCACCACTCCCTATTGCTACCTCATGTCCGTGATTTCTATGGCTGTGGTAGGGAACTGTTTCTGGGATGCCCTAGTTATGATAAAGAGGTAGAGCGGGGAGGCTTAACCTGGAATAACTGAGTTTAGAAAACGACTCCCACAAAAATATTCCTAAAAGAGAAAAACTAAATATATATACTAATACTTTTTGTTTCTGACAAGATGTTTACTTTTGTCCTCCTTTATGTTTTCAAAAGTGACTTCTAGGGCCCTCCCTGGTGGCGCAGCGGGTTAAAGCACAGCACTAAGTAGCTAAAGCCACTTCAGCACGAGTTCAATCCTCATCCTGGAGGTGACCCACAGGGCGCCACAGACCTCTCCTGACCCGCCCGCTGCTCCCCTCAGCAGTGGACTTCGTCAGTCTGCCTGTCCTGCTCCCCACTCTGCCTCTGGTGAGTCCTCTCACCGCCCCTGCACCTCTGGCCTGAACCCCAGTTCTGTATGCACAAATAAATCTGTTTTAAAAAACGACTTCTAACCTCTCAAACACTGAATAAACCGTAAGCCTTGTTCTGTCTAACTGCAAAATCCAGTAGTAAAACTTGCAAAAATCCCCTATGAATGAAGCCTGGTCTAAATAAGCCAGGTTTCTGCTCAGAGCCCTCCCAGACGGCCGACCTCGACCCTTGCTGTCTAAAATCCCCACCTCTTTGCCTGCATCTTTATCTCCAGCAGACTAAGCTGGCTGCAACAGAGTCCAACGGTGCTCACCTGTGGCTCCCCAGCACAGTGTTGGACCCGCAGAGTCTCATAAACGCAAGTGGGGATGCAGGAGCCTGGCTCCTTGGTGCCAAGGCTCCAGTTCCAACCCCAGCCCTGTTGTTGTTCCACTGGAGGGCAAGAATCTCACAAGCTATAGAGTGGGCAGCAAGGCACCAAGGATTGTCAAGGATCGTGGCTGCCAGTGTGCCATGCCCTATGGATGCTGAGTGCTTAGCCCAGCGGTGGGCAGTGCTGTCCCCCAGTCGTGGACAGCTGCCGTGACATGGCTGTGACTCCTGCTCAAAGAGGAGCAGAAGAAGAAAAAGAAGACACCACGTACAGGGAAGCCATGCCAACTGCACCTACCCTCTGAGAGACCAGAACAACGTGTGTGTGGTCTGGACCATCTCAACAAAGCTGCTTGGCTACTCATTAGCCATATTATTTTTTCATTTCCTGTTAGGCCCCAAGGCCCCACAAGTAAATAGAAACAGAGAGAAACCCTTAAATGTGCCCCATCTCTGGCCACGCTGGTCATCTTGGGCCAGCAGCCAACCTGCGTGGGTCCTGGGTAGGCCCACTGGTACCTGGCCCATGTGAGTATCCAAGTGGCGGCGCAAGGACAGTCCCCCTGCCAAAAACCGACCTTGCCCAGACCCCACTTACAGCACTCGATGGGATTAGAGGCCGTCTGCAGTGAGACAATCCTTCCGCTGGACTCTGGAATGTGCACCCGAAAGACCAGCCTCACTCGGGTATTCTTTCTCCCGATGTCGGTCTCTCCTTTCCGCAGCTCGATGTCGGCATTTCTCAGCTTCAGGATCCCCGCACAGTCAATGCTGCCAGGAGGTTGAGAAGCCCATTGAAACCTGACTGCTCAGTGGGCAGGAAAGACCACCCACCAAACCACCTCGGTGAACCCAAATAATTCTATGGCCAGCTGCAGGGGAAACTGTGATGCAGACACTGATAAAGATTTCAGCCAGGAATTCGCACCCAGCGAGGGGTAAAACACTTACAGAGTAATTAGGGAAACTCCCAGTGAAAATTGCTTCTCTAGGGAGACCTTTTTCATGCCAACTTTTCTACTCTCAAAAGCAAATGAAAAACTCAAATAGGTAATGGGGGAGAACTGGTCACAGACCACTCAGTGGAGAAGGGCTGTAGACCCACATTCCACTTCCTCAACTTGACCGAGATTCTGTAGCCAGGTAAGAAAGTGCCGCTCTGGGAACCTGCACCGCCGTGTCTAAAAGTGAAACAGCGGCGAACTTGCTGCGGCTCACTCACTGGATGCAGGAAGAATGCAGAAAGGGTGGGAGGGGGGTGACAAAGCAAATGTGAAAAATGTTCATGTAAATCCGAATGAAGGAGAGAGAGGATTCTTGCCACATTTCTGTAAGTTTCATATTATTTCCTAATAAAAAAAAAATGTAACCCCCATCCTTGGGCACAGTGATTCTTAAATTTTAGCCAGACATTTATTGGCTTTGTGAGTTTCTTCAGGTCAAAAATTTTAAATGTATAGAAATCTAACCTCATGCCAAGCTACATAACCCAGAAACGTGAGACTTCGCCCTCCCAGTACACGTGAAACATATTAGGCATAGGAATTTTAAAGCGGAAACTTTCAAACAGAAATCTCTGCAGGCCCACTGCAGACTGGGGACCACCATCCATGCCTATTCCCACCAACTCCATCCTCTCCCAAATCCCTGCCACCTGGCCCCACTCACTCCCCCAAAGACCCAGCACAACTGGCCCCAGGCCTTACGTCGCCCTCATGTTGTTTTTTGGCTCCAGAGGAATCTCCAGGACTTTGGTGTTGCCGACAATCTTCTCGTAGCTGGTGGTGGTGACGGTTTTTCCTGTGATCCGGTGCACCTGGTAGAAGGCGTGGGGCTTCAGGATACGTTCGTCGGCCGTCCCGATGAATATTTGAAGCCCCAGAGGCTTATTTTCCATGTAGCCGTGGAGCTGGAGGAGGAAGGAGAAAACAAAGTCAGATTATTACCGCATCATTCACACACAGGGTGTGGCCCTAGCCCAACAAACAGCAAAGACCAGAGCCCTCAAGGGCAGCAGGAAAAGCAGGGGTTGGCCCATCATCTGGGGGGATGGAGAACTGGAAGCAACCTGATGTCCAGTCAGAGGGGACTGCTTCAATGACTTACAGGGGTTCTCTCTACAATGGAACATTGAGCAGCCCTGAGAAAGAAGGTGGTAGATCAGAACTGCATTTATGGAGAAGCAGCCAGAAACGATGGCTAGTTTGTGGTCAGTGGAAGGTTCAAGTCAATGAGAATAGAAAATCCAAAAAGAGAATCCAGCTCCAACTATGGTGACGGCACACGGGTGAATTGGTGATGGGAAGCCCACGGGGACTGCAGCTGAGCTGGAAAAAGGCACACAATGATGTAAATATCAGAATTAAAAGCACATCAGTGACATCCCTGGTCTAATGAGTTTGAAAAGGTAGAAATTTATGAACTGGCCAGAAAGACTTAAGACACATTGTTATCAGAGCAAAGAGATTTGCAGAAAAATGTAGATCACACAATATGAATTATCGTTTAAAATGCTGAATATTTTGACTCATCTACTTAAACACATGCAAATGTACTAGGGAAAGATGTGCAAGGATGTACTCCATACTGACTGCAATACAACCACTCTCAGGACAGAGGAGACCGAGGTTGAGAAATTGGCTAAAATGGACTTTAATTTTAATCACAAAGTCTTAAGAAGAACAGATGCCTGGAAACCTGTGAAATTAACGCTGAAAAATAGAAAAACAAACTGAGACAATAGAAAAAACAAAGCTGAGAATTTGAAGGAAAGTTCCTATCCCGCCACTCCCCAACTGAGAAATGTTGTGCAAACATTTCACCCTTTGCACCTCTGCAGTTTTCTCATCCAACCAAGGGCAGCCGCGACAGACAAGTCACTAATATCCCACCCTTCTGTGAAGTTCTACGGAACTCCAGGGAGGGTTCTTAGCTGACTGCCAAAAAGCAGACTGCTGGGCAGTGGATGATGACGCAAGACCTAGAGTCATCTAGCTGTCCAAGACAGTAAATAAAGATGACAGCAAAGTGACAACTCCAGTAGTGTCTCGTCACCACGAATGACTACAGGCTTCTGTGACAGCCCAGAAGCACCACATTTCCATTTTCAAAAAACGCCGGACAAGGCCAGTTCACTAAGATGGGATTCTCTCGTGTCCTGCTGAAAACTACCCAGAGACAGATTGGGAGTGGAGCACAACCAGGGGAGCACCTCTTTCATACTCTGCCGGGCCACGCCCACAGCATTCACATGTGGCAAAACACATGCATGTGTACCTCGTGTCTGACACACCTGAGAGGCACCCGATGGTGGAGACAGAAACGGGAGTCTGAGTCTCTCTCTCCAGCAAACTGAAGACAAGGTGCTGGGCTGAGATAAAGATCACAGGAAGGGCAGTGTCAAGATTTGTTTTTGTTGTTTTACATTTGGACCCAAAATAAACACATTTCCTCAGCTCACCTCCTGACTTTACCAGGATTGTCACACGGAGAAGGAGATAGGATAGTAGTGAGCTCTGACTTTCTGGGGTTCCTTCTCCCTCCCATGACAGAGAACAAAAATGCAGGCTGGGCGTACTCAAGGTAAACACCCAGGGAACACCTGCAGATAAAACTTGGCAAGTCGGCCCTCCCTGGTGGCGCAGCGGGTTAAAGCACAGCACTGAGAAGCTAAAGCCACTTCAGCATGAGTTCGATCCCCGCCTGCCCCGGAGGTGACCACATGGCGCGGCAGACCTCTCCTGACCCGCCCGCTGCTCCCCTCAGCAGTGTACTTCCTCGATCTGCCTGTTCTGCTTCCCACTCTGTCTCTTTAATCCTCTCATTGCCCCTGCACCTCTGGCCTGTACCCCAGTTCTGTATGAATAAATAAAATCTTAAAAAAAAAAAAAAAAAAAAAAAACTTGGCAAGTCACCCCATCTGCCTGGACCCAGCCGCGCACAAACCCTCCCTGCAGGCGCACGAGCCCAAGCCAAACAGCCCAACGATCCTTACAAAATTACCAATCAGACAGTCGCTCCTCTGCTTACAACACTCCAGAGACTTTCTATGGACTTAGAATAAAACCCCAACTCGGTGTCAGGTCTAGGAGGCGTCCAACCTCCTGCTCCTTGCACCCCACAAGATTCCTGCCACGAGCCGCCATGCTCTCCTGGGCCCACCAAGCTCCTTTGGACCGCAGGGCCTCTGCACAGTCACCTCTTCTCCCCGAGCATGACCCGCCAGCACATCCAGTGCTCAGATCTTCAGGTCTCTCCCACGCGCATGAGTTATACATGCCCAGTGCTGCTCTCTCAGCTTCCAAGAGCCAACTGCCACATTTTTAGGACTTCTGAGAGTCAGCAGACATCTCCGTGGTAGCTCGAAATCAGCCATGGTGGGTGAGCTACCCCATAAAAATTGGCCAATGCTACAATCAGGACTCTTTTTCCGGAGAATGGATGTTCCACCAGCATGGATGGCTTCCTGACCTTCTGAAATGTCCTTAGTGAGCGTTTCTCACCGAATCGCTCGCCCCCCACCTGGGGGTGCATGGTGGTAGGAACCTTTATTTCTTTTGCTCAGGGTGATCAATGACCTTGCTGACTAAATGGTCCCTGTCATCAACACGACAGTGTACACGACCCTCCGGCCAACGCTCCCTTAATCCCGCGCACGGATGATTCCATTCCCAGGTCAGCCTGGTGCTGCCTGACCGATGAGGAAGCTGAGGCTGGCCCCGGTCAGGGGACACTTGCTCAGTCAACTGTCGGCACAGGGCAGAGTCAGGATTTGAGCTCTGGGCTGTGGGGCTCCGACCCCACCCCCAGGCTGGCACATGCCCCGTCCCGGGGCACCTGGTGGACTCCCAGGCCCGCTCTGACCTGCAACTGCCGACCAGATCCTTGGAGCAAACGCCAGCAAGTGCTGAGTTAAAAGATCAAGCCTGGGCGCTCCCCGGGGGCGCAGCGGGGTAAAGCGCAGCACTGAGAAGCTAAAGCTGCTCTGCAGCACGAGTTCGATCCCCGCCTGCCCTGGAGGTGACCACATGGCGCGGCAGACCTCTCCTGACC